GTGCATCACAGGTCATAGGCGGACCTAAACAGATGAGTTTTAAGGGACTTTTTGAAAATGGACGAGGTTTCACTATGACGTATATGGAAGGGGAGCTGGTTCCAGAACGTGGGCCCATGGAAGCAGAAGGAGCGTTCACCGATGGTCTTAGTTTTAGTTCTTGGGATTGAGAGGGTTCTACTGTCAATGGAAGAACGTAGTTGTCTTGTGGGGATGTAAGGAAGCAACAGTTCAGAGAGATAGACAGGAAAGTGAGGGTCAGTGAACGAGTTGAAGCAAAGATTGGAAGACTTGTATTTGATGCGAGAGGATATTGGAAGCCAGTGGAGTTGCCGCATGTGTGGTTGAATGTGGTCATGTTTCTTTAATTTAAAAATGAGTCTGCATGCTGAGTTCTGTGCCTTCTGAAGTTTTTCTATGTGGTGTTGAGGAATGCCTGAGAGAAGAATGTTACAGTAGTCAAATTTTGAAAGAATGAGTGAAGAGACGAGAGTTTTTGTGGCATCAAAGGAGAGGAGGTGTCTAATGGTGCTGATTTTTCTAATTTCGTTATATGCTGATCTGCATATATTCGTGACATGTTTGTCCATGGAGAGGGTGTCCGTAAGCGTGACTCCAAGGTTTCTGGCAGAGGGAGAGAGTGTGATGTCAGAGTTGCCAATAGATATAGAAGAAGGAGCGAATGGAGGGAGAGGTTTGTTTTGAGAGTGGATGAGAAGGATTTCCGTTTTATCATCATTTAGCTTCAGTTTGTTGCAAGTCATCCAACGCTTTACATCGTCCACGCACTCCTGTATGCGAAGGATTGTGGCATCAAGTTGATCAGGAAAGCAAGAGTCACTGATTTGAGTGTCATCAGCAAAGGATTGACTGGAAACTGAGTGGTGGCTAATGAGAGATGATAGAGGTTTAGTGTAGAGGATGAAAAGGACCGGCCCAAGGACCGATCCTTGAGGAACTCCAATAGACAGGGCTGAAGGTTTGGAAGAGCGGTTGGAAATAGAGACTTTTTGAGTTCTGTCAGAAAGATATGATTGAAACCAGTTTAAAGCTGAGCCAGTAAGTCCGAAAGAAAGATGAAGGCGGTCAAGAAGAATCTGGTGGTCAATGGTATCAAATGCAGCAGAGAGATCTAACAGAGTGAGAATAGAGAGTTTGCCATCGTCCATCGCGCGCAGGAGGTCACTCATGACTCGGACCAGTGCTGTTTCTGTGCTATGACCAAGTCGGTAGGCGGACTGAGAGGAAGGATAGAGATTGCGAGAATGAAGATAGCCAGAGAGCTGAGAGAGTATGAGTTTTTCTATGATTTTTGAGAGAAAGGAGAGGTTGCTGACGGGGCGGTAATTCTTGAGTGTGTTTGGATCAAGTGAGGGTTTCTTTAGGAGGGGCAGGACAATCGACCGTTTAAAAATGGGAGGGAATATGCCAGAGAGAATCGAAGAATTTATGATGGAGGTGAGTGCTGGGAGGAGGACGTCAAGGCATTCTACAAGCAGTGGGACGGGGATAGGATCGAGGGCACAAGACTTGGGAGCAGACCTGATGATGACTCGCCTCACCTCATCCTCAGTCACAGGCAGAAAACTATCAAATGATTCTGTCTGACTAACGTCCTCCGAGAACGGTGAGGAAGGTGTAGGGGTCGCGCTGTCTAGCTCCTCCCTGATCGTTTGCACCCTGGTGATGAAAAAGTCCGCAAAGGCGTCAGGGAGTTGCACTGGTGCAATGTCGGTAGGGAGGGTGAAATTCTTGCTGTTGCCAAGGAGACGGTTACTAGCGCTGAACAACGCCTTGGTTGATGCACATGATTCGACCTTTGAGCTCCAGTAGTCATCCTTTGCCCTCTGTACAATCTCTGCCACCGCATCTTTCGCTGTCCAAAAGATCTGTCTGTCGACACTCAGTCCAGTCTTTACCCAGCGTCTTTCAGCGCGTCTTCGCACGAGTTTTGCCAGACGGAGTTGGTCACTAACGCCTGCATACCATGGCGACGAGCGACCAGTCGGGACACGTCGCGCCATGGGAGGGGCGTGCTCGTCCAAAAGTGCTCGGAGGCCATCGTCCAGATGCTGAGCACGGTCCTGTAGACAGGTGGGTTCTTTGGGGGAACTACGTTGAGTGTAGTGAGCACCGCTGCATGGTCAGAGGAGAGCATATGACTCACAGTACAGCTGTCCACCAAGTTGTCGTCATCACGGTACACCACCCAGTCGATGATGTGGCCGCTGCGATAGTAGGTGGGCTGCTTAATGCCCTGGACAAGACTAAACCTTGTGAGGATGTCTAGTACCTTGCTAGTAAAGGGATCAGTAGGGACGTCATAGTGAACGTTAAGGTCGCCCACGATCACACTTGTTCCACGGAGCAGGTTGCAGTAGTCAAGTAGGTCAGGGAGCTCAGAGAGGAAGGTGGAGTTTAGGAGCTTGTTCTTCTTACTGGGCGGAGTGCGGTACAAGCAGAAAATGTTGACAGTGTGGGGCGTGTTGAGGGAACTGAACAAGTTCTAGAGAGGTGTGCTGGAATGGGAATGTGGAGGTGAAAGTCACTGGGAGGTGGCTACGATAAATGACAGCGAGGCCGCCACCTCGCGTAGCACGCGGAATAATGCCTCCAAAAAGATCAATTTTCCGTCGACGAAATTTCTTTCAAACAGATTTCTGGATTATACTATTACAAGTGTTTTCTTGAAAATATTAAAAGCTAGATCTGTACAATTATTTTATGAAGTAGTTGGTCAAAGACTAAAGTAGTGATTACAAAATTGCAAATATTGATTTTGAGCTAGTTTAAATTTCGTCTTTTCAAGAAATTCGTTACTATACACTGGTTTACAACACAGGTTTACAACACTGGTTTACAACACTGGTTTACAACACTGGTTTACAACACTGGTTTACAACACTGGTTTACAACACTGGTTTACAACACTGATTTACAACACTGATTTACAACACTGGTTTACAACACTGGTATAAATGTTAAAATAAAGACCTATACTAACAATGGGTATGACAAGTTTTTCAATGCGTTCTTATATTGCGTTATTTTTCTTTAAAAAATGGAAACTAAAATTAACCGAGGGGATGCAGCGCTGCAAAAATGTTGAGGATCCCTGCCCTAGAACTAGAAAATTTACTTAGATCATCCTCCCCTCCCCGACCAACCATTTGTCCTTTCATCCCATTTCACGAGGTTATTCCCGCCTCCACATTTCGACACAAATTCCCATGACTGTCAATGTCACTACACCCCGATTCTCCTCCTTCTTGACGTCAGGTAGCTTGATCGGAGCCTACTGAATCTCTCAGTGATGGTAATTTAAAAATAAAATCATTATAATTGTGTTATAAGAGAATAATGCTGATATATGATATAATGTCTGTAACTTAGTGTTATTCGGTGTAATATTTTTAAAAAAAAATATTTCACATTTTTATGTGACGTCACGTTGCTTAACACCGCCTCCCCCCCTTTTTCGTGACAACTCGTCACCAAAAATGTAGCCCCATCCTCCACCCCCCTTTTTTTTGACGTGTGGCATTTATGGATGGCCCATGTAGCGCCCACCCTTCCGCATAGATAATATAACCCTCTATCCAGAGCCATCACATGACTTATGGGGAGAGAGAGGGGGGGGGGCATACCATTTTTAGGTTTTGTGCCTCCCTGCAATCAAAGTTGATAGTTACATTTTTCTCACATCACAACATCCCTTAATCATCCGAGGCCCCTGCACCAGGGGTTACAGGACAGCTCTGCGCCTATCCCAAAAGGGCGATTGTGGTAATTTTTTTGAACCACTGGTATGAATTTTAAAATAAATAGCTTTCTTATCAATTTCGTTATTTTTCCAAATGCCGTTAAGTTTTGTTTTGTTGAAAAAAATAAAATAAATAAATATACATAATATCATGACAATGACATAGTCCATTCCTTTTAGGGGATACAATTTTCCGATTACCACATAGTCATAGCATCGCGACCAATCAGAGGCCGCCACATCCTATAAAAAAAAAGAACATTATTTATTTGTGTTGTTTTGTACAAAAACCTTTCTGCTATAAATTTGTTTAATTTTTTAAAAAATTGTACATCGTACAAAAGCGGATTGGGGTGGTGCGGTGGTGTTCGATAAAAATCCCGGGGCCGGGAAACTCGTCCGTCCACTACTGGAATATGGTGCGATCATCTGGGACCCACACCTTAAAAGCAAGACGTGGAAAAGATGGAGCGAATTCAACGTAACGCGGTGCGTTTTATCACTCGAGACTACAAATCCACCACTCCTGGCAACGTCACTTGCCTCTTAAAAAGATTTGCCACCCCCCCCCCCCCCCCCACTTCTAAAGACAGACGACGAGAGGGACTCCGCCTGATATTCTTATAAAAAATGATCATGGGACTGGTGCCGGCCATCCCAGCAGGCACGTACCTCACCCCACAGAAGCCGGGTAGACTGATAAGAGCAAAACGCTCACTGAACACTGACTTCACCACTGACAATCCCATAAACAATTACACCAGAAACAATAGCAAATGCTTCAAAGTGTCTCAGTGCGACACAGTGCAGTATCAACAATATTTCTTCCCACGCACAATAATAGCATGGAGCCACCTGGACGATGCCACTGTGAGCTCGACATCGGTCGAAAGCTTCAAGGCTGCCCTGGCATCTGCTAGGAGCTGTTAAAATAGCAACATCATACCCCCAACCGTTGCAAAGATGCCAGAGCATGGATGCAGCAACGAAACACTACCAGAACCAGAACTAGCCATGCTACGTCAACCATGATCCGGTCATTCATGTCATGTAATCATAAATACTGATTAAAATTAAATATTGAATATCTGAAAATATTCATTTCTAAACCTATTACCGTTCCGTTAGCCTAATACTTTATTAATAATTGTTGTAGTCGCGCTGTTTAAAAGACAAAAAGTTAGGCTGAGAACCACTGTAAAAAGTCAAAAACAACTTCCTCCATTTTCTCCGTAGCTGCTCTATGGCGGCCCCCATAGCCGTTTTTTTCTACCGGAATCTATAAAGCTTACGTGGACAAACCCAATTGAAAGCCCAAAAAGTAAGATTGTGGTATTGATACAAATGTAGATTTTGTTTTTGTATGTATTTTAATAAATTTTAACCACAAATAAATTTAAGGAGAATCACTATTCACACATTAAACTATAAAATGAAATATCACTCACTCACTCATTGATTTTGATATATCAATGATACTATGACAACATTCAACATCATGGCCATGGGTATGGAGTACTATTTCTGTTCTATAAGTATAAAGTATAAGACTGTAGCATACAATACTATATCATTAGTATGACTTTGAGAATGTTGCTTATGATTAATAAATGCATTGACTTAACAATTTACATACTTATCTCATTCATACAACAAATATGATAATATAATTTATTATAATAAAAAAATAATAATATATAATAATAATGATCAATCTGATTCTGACTGAATGAATCAGAATCACTTCATTTTGCATCAATCTGAAATCATTCAGTCAGATCAACAATCACTTGACTTTGACTTGATGATCTGAACAGGCAAATGTTGGTTCAATCCACCACTTAGACCACTTAGCCTTGGTGTAGGCTGTAGGTGTAGGATTCTCTCCCTTTTAGTCATTCTAGGATGTTACTATTAATATTTAGGTATTAACTCTTTCCCTGCCAATCGACGATAAATTGTCAAATTGACTGGACTTAATTTCTGTAGTTTATTTCTTCGCCTACGGCTATAAATCTGACTTTTTATGTTCTTAAATGAACTATAACTATAACTCTTCCTGTTGTGTTTTTCTAATAATTGCGACCTTTTTTCCATTTGTTTTGAAACTGTTGTAAACAAAACAATGGTCACAGCTTACTTAAAGCACATCAGCTGTTGGTAGACCACAGAGGTAGTCAAGTTTGCAAACAAGAATGAATGAGAATTATTGATGCTGAAACATCGGGCAATAACCATGAATCATTTGAATCTGATTCAAGTGATGATTTTCAGCTTTCTGATCGGTCAGTAAATGCCAAATGGAAATAGAATGGTGATAGTGATAGTAATAGTGGTGACAGTCTGCACTTTGTTAAAAATTTCAAAACATTTTTAAAGCCTAGAGAATGGATTACAAAGACATCAAGATCAACTTTCTAGCCCAAATGGTCAAAAGTTTTCAAAACCTATTTTTTACTAAGGGGACAGTGAGGATTCAGCTATTACTACTCCTGTTCCTGCAAAAAGAAGTAGGAAATTAGGCAGAAAAGATGCAGGAAGAATAGTTTCTAATCGCGCAAACAATCATTCCCCTTGTACCCATCGTATCGAAGCCAGGGGAAATGTCCATCAACAGTGCAGACAAGCATCTTAGTGAAAATAAGCACCTGGACCTGGTTGGCTATGACGGGCATGATTGACAGTTTGCATACTGTTCAGTGCACAAAATAACCAGACGCGGCTGCTATGTGTGCATCGGATACACAGGAAGGCCTCATCTGTGTGTTAAGGAGTGCTTCAGAAAGGACCACACAGAAAGAAATTTGTACCAAAGTAAAATATTTTGTAAACAATTTGTTTGACATTTGTGTATATATACATATGCAAAGAAAATGTTTTCCTCGGTTGACATTAACATTACAAAAATGTGTGTAACTCTGTCGCTAAATGGAATATTTTCAAAATGTAAAAGGCATTCTGATCAAAAATGGATAATACTCTCTGATGATTGAAGCAGAATAGGATACCACCTACACAGACAATATCGCAGTCTGATAATTTCAGATTTGGTGCGCATTTAAAAGGGAAAAAAAGTCATCTTAGAATATTACCAATAAAATTTAAACTATTATTGCCTTACTGTTTTATCTTTTAAATATTATTATTTTCAGTTCAATATTTAGGCGTTTGAGTAAGCCATACTATACCAATATTAATATTGTCCTCAAGATTAAGAATTCTAGGCTTTGATTTGACATTTTGAAGATAGGACTGATTTTAGAAGCTGAAAATTTTACAGACTTAGGTTCTTTTTGCTATTTTGGCAGATTTTTATTTTACACCCCATCCCTCCCAATCATCACAAATTTTTAGACACCATTGTCACAGATCATCACAAACATCCACCTAGAGATGTGTGCACATCATTTATGGATAGCTTCTTAATACTAAACTCAATCTCAAAACATTGCGCCGGAGATTAAAAAAAATTATTTACATATCCTGTGGCTGGCCATCCATACATCATTAGCTACTGAGGGAGGAGTGGTTGTTGGATTTAGAGATACTGACTACAGGTGTGTTTGGTGGAAAATCTCATCTGATGTGAATTTAACTATGATTGCACCAATTAATCTGCAATTATTGGGAATAAGCCTATCTGGCAGTTTTGTAGAATTATATCAGCATTTTTTATTATTAATTAATGGATTTATTCAACATATTGGCCTACAGAAAATACTTTTCAAATCTAGGATGTAAGTCTAGATAAATGGTTTTAAACTATCTTGGGCAGTTTTATGAGATTTTATCCAATTGGTACCAAATTAGATACGTGGAAGACTCAATAGTGTAGCCAACTCTTTTTTCTTAAACTTAAAGTTACATAACTTTAACTAAAATGGCTTTATTAAGGATCTAAACTTTTAAGCATAATTGGAATTTGCCTTTACATTTTTCAAATAACTTTCTTCTACAACTAATTTCCCTTCTGCTCAATTTTGGTTTTACCTGGTACAAATATTAAAATCCGTATTGCCAAATGCTGTCTACCCTTCCCCACGATCTCCCAGTACGATGCTATGTTGGTTATTAAATAAAAATGTTGACTTTTATATTTCTTCTTTCACAGTTGAAATGTATTTATTTGTATTTATTTCCAACAGTGCTGACCTCACATACAAAGCAAGCTTTTCTTCTATTGACATACATTGTTTGTGTTAGCACAAAACAAAAACCAATAACGATTTCACTAGCAGCAAAATGGAACTCCACTCCTCTACTTCTGGAAGCGAGGTACTGCTTTAAGCATTTGACATTTTTATGAACTTTCTATTTCTTTCTTTTTTTTATTTCATCAATTTAATTTTATATTAAGATTAAATCCTCATCTACAATTTTAATAACTAGACTAAATAATGTTACAAAGTTAGAAATTACAGACTGAGAAAACCAGAATGTAATTGGGTTAGCCCTGTGTTGAAAAAGGAAATATTGTATGATAATGACTATTTCATTTATATGTTTTGTTTTTAATTTAAAACGAAGCTTTTATTCTTTAAACAAGAAATTTTCTATTAATCAGTTTCTATTAAAACATGTGACTTGTTTGTGTTAACAATGCTTAAACATTTCAAATCATAAACCTACAGTGAGTTCCTTGCTAAAGAGTCAAATGAAAACTTCTGGTCTTATGCAGAAAGAATTGTTGACCAAGAAATATCATTTTTTGAAACAGGTAGGGGGGGCCTAGTGAGATATATTTGGTATAATGCTACGATTTTTAAGATTCCACTATCAGGTAATTAAAATAAATACATAAATAAATATTGTAGCCCTGCCAAGGAAGTCTCTATAAATGCATTTTATATTTATACTATTGTTAAAGTAACTTAAAGAATAAAAATGTACCTATTATGAAAAAAAAACTATTAAGTTTTTTTGAGAACTTATTCATATTTAATTTATCCTAATAATTTTACATAACTCGCTTTTAACATATTGTTTCCATGGGATTTTTTTTTAGCTACCGATGAGATGAAGTATAAACTGGCACAGAAGTTTGCATCAGAGCTGGTTTCTCCTCTACAGTTGAGCTTTTTAAAGTTTTCTTTGGCTTTAAGAGCTTTTTCACCTGCTATTCAAATGTTTCAGCAAGTGAGTAGATTAAATAAACTCATCATAAAATTGGTCCTTGGTTTGAGAACAAAAAAAACCAACAAATGGTACAATATAGTTGGAATAGATAATGGTCATAAAATATGTTGGTGTATTGGGGAGGTATTTTTGGTGTGTTTCTTTGTAGTGTTAGCTGTGTCATCAAACAAAGCAAAAAATCCATGATAAGACTTTTTTTTAAATCTGATTGCAGCTTGTGGAGCAGCTGGATGTCAATTCTAATTGTGATGCTGTTGTGGAAGTCAATGGCAAATTCTCATGTGACCCAAATGATCTGTCAGAACTTCTCACCACATCTATAGCCAGGTGAACACCTTAAGCATTGATATTTTAAAAAATTCAGCTGAAAAGAGGGTACTTTAAATTCAATGTCTTTAACTCTTGTGCTCAGCTCAGTGAATAATAAAGCTATACAGTATAATTGATATATCTGGCATATGTCAATTCATAGAGTAATATTAACTGTAGATCATATTAATATTAAATACAACTTAAAGATTTGTTTACCTAAACAAGGAATAACAAAATTTTAAGAATATTGTATTTCTACACAGGTGATATAAATAATTCTTATTGAATATTGTGATTCATTTGTAGTGAAATATTAACTTCATTTAAGTTGAAATTTCTACTTCTTTTGGCTTGAAATTTTACTTTCATTTGGGTCAGTTATCTAGTGTATGCACTAAAAATATCTCCTACATTAGTATTTTAATGAATTTTAATTTAAATAATATTAATAATTCTCTTTTATTTTCTACATGTTGTATTTTTTATTATTGTCCTCATTGAAAAAAAGTCTATTTGTTTCATAATTTCAGAGCACCCTCTGTGCTATACCAGTTTGATCATATCTATCCTGGTCCAGCCAATAAACAAGCAGTTGTTATTCTGTATGCTGAAATGGGAACCAAAGCTTTCAAGACTTTTCACAGAGCTCTTGCTGAATTGGCTCGCAGAGGGGAGATCACTTATTGCTTACGTCACTTTGTGAAAGTAAATTTTCAAGCACTATCCATATTATATAAATTTTAAGCTATTTGTTAATTTTCAAGAAGTATTTTTAAAATATTCAATTAAAGACCATGAACATTTCTCTTTTTATGATGGGGTGAAAAGATAAAACAAACTTTCAGAAATTGAGATTTTAAACATTCTTTGGTAACTAAAGGCATGGAAATAAGAATATTTATAAGGCTTACTTTTCATCTTAGAACCAAACGCCCAGAAATCTCAGATTGTCTGGTTATGGTGTGGAACTTGCTCTCAAAAGCACAGAGTACAAAGCCAAAGATGACACTAAAGTAGAAGGTAAGCCACAGTGGAGTATTAAAAACCAGCTGGTACTTTGAGTAAATCGATCTATCTATACACAGGGAAGACCTCAAGTAATGAACCAATCGTTTAACATGGCTACAACTAGAACACCATTGTGGTTACCACTATTAACATTGCTCATTACATTATTTTTGTTGCTCAATGGACTGTACACATTATATTTTATGCTTGTTCCATTAATACTGTTAAAAACATTCATTTAATTTATATCAGAACTATAGGCATTTCCTACTAATTATTAACAACTTGTGTGTTGATTTTTATATATTTAATGTAATTCTAATCATTTTCGTTGAAAGAGCTTAGCTAAGCAGGTTTGAATGAATTTAAAGAAAATGAAAGTCCCACAATAATAGAGTTTAATCACAAGTTATTTTTTTCTCAGGGGACAAATCAAGCTCTGCAAATGTTGATGATACAGACACAGGAGAAGTTGATGGCATTGTATTCTCTAAACTCAAGTTAGTTAAGTTTTTGTTGATTTATGTGGTAGATTCTTTTTTACCCATTTGAGTACATAGCGACCTATAAATACTAACTTATTTTCAACCTTTGATAACACAATAATTTTTTTTTTTCTTTTACTACTGTTACAGTGAGCTCCATCCTAATTTAAAGGCGGAGCTTAAAGAATTTAAAAATCACTTGATGGATTCTGCCACAGAACTTAGTCCATTTAAAGTTTGGCAGCTGCAAGGTAACAACATTTTGTACACCCTAAAGCCTTTTATATTTGATTCACTTTTTTCCAGCCTTCCATTTAAGACAAGACAATATGAAAATTATATGGAATACAATTATTTCCTCTGGAAAATTATTTAAACAAATGTGTTTTCTTGCTGTTTATAATAGAACTTAGATGATTAGAAAATGAAAATTTCCATTTAAATGCTTTGTTAAAAATGAAGGCTACAAATTATTACTATTCAAATGTTTAAAACCTTTAGATGCTTGAAAATGCTCTTCTTAAACAATTTATTCCCATAACAGATCTCAGCTTCCAAGCGGGTCAGAAAATTGTCTCTGCCCCACCAGATGATGCACTTCAGTATCTCCGAGATATTAGTCAAAACTTTCCTACTCAAGCCAGGTAATTACTCTAATGTTTCTGTTCTTCAATGTCTGAGGTTAAGCTTTACTAAAAAGAGAATAAAGGACAAGGACTAGCCCACAGATGGAATCATTATTTCTTTTAATTTTATATAAATGTTGTAAAGCTGCTCAGTTCTTCATTAAAATATAATAATAATAAAGTTCATGAACTATAAAGCTTGAAGCGTAGTACAAAGTCAGCCATACATGACAATTTATATTTTTCCACAAAATATAGTACTGAACTCTTAATATCTAATCATGCTTATAAGAATGAGCCAAGGTAGATGCGTTACTCTGGGATGATAGTGATTTTTCTATTATTTTATGGAAAATATATCTGCTTTTATGCAAGTACAAGTTATCTTTAAATATGTAAGTGTTATTATTATTAATTATAAATAAATTTAATATACAAATTATTTTCTTAAGTGTTATTATTATAAATTATAAATAAATTTAATATAAAAATTATTTTCTTTCTAGTTCAGAGGCGTGAAAAAAGGTTGGGTGGGCCTATATCATATAGAAGATAAAAATTTCTCAAAACTCAATGAGGTTATAAATGTAAATATTTATACAAAGATACTTCTTTAAAAATGTAAACATTTATACATAGAGACTTATTTTTTTTAAAAAAGGGAAAGTCTGATTTACTATTTGCTAAATATACATTTTAAGGGTGTGGAAAAATTGCGTACATTTTTTTTGTTGAGGATATAGTGCCTCAAAACCCGATACAGTTACATCTGTAAAAATAAATAGATTTTGAGAGTTGGCAATAACAGGTAGCAAGTAGCGCAATATGCCTTCCATTTTTTAGCCCAGTAACACTGGGTCATATCTTCTAGTATATAATAGAGAAGAAGTAATGAAAGTGTCCATCAATCTTTAAATCCTTAAAACAGAAACAATGAAATAGTTTTTAAAACAATAATCTGTTTTTGTTTAATCTCTTCAGATCACTGTTACAAACCACTGTCACCAATGAATTTAAGAGAGAGGTCAAGAAAAACCAGGAGGTAAGGAAGTTATCAATTATCATTTGATAATGACAGAATGACAAAATAAAATTATTGATCTCTTAGATCAGGGGTAGGGAGAGTTTTTTAACCAATTACAACAAAATATATTTGTTTCAGCTGCCTTTACCTCAATTTGGAAGGGAGAAAATCATAGACTATTTAAATTCAAGATGGCTTATTGAATCTATTTATACAGAGAAGACACTTAAAATATATAAACATTAAAAAAAATAAATGCAATCAAATAAAATCCCTATAATGGAACAATAGGATTTCTTAGAAAAGTTTACATAAATTTTGGGGCAATAATCGTTTCATTTTCAATAACATCAAAATTGATGGAGGGGTGCGGATCACACCGATGTCGTCAAGTGACAACCTCAAAGGGGTGGGGGTGACAATGCAAAATGATAAATTTAAAAGCACTCTATCAAGTATGTTTCACAACAAGTCTGTTGCCATTAGATAAGATAAAATAGGTGACCAGGCCAAAATGACACATACAAGACAAGTGGTGCGGTACATTAGCTGCCAGTAGTAACAAAATCATGTTGGGTGTTTTTCTCCATTAAACTGGTCAGAAGCATTGTTTCCCAAAAGAAAATGCTTTCGTAAAAGGAAAGCGCTTTTAATCTTTTGAGCATCCATTACCAAGATTTTCATATTTACCCCATTAGGGGGACTTTACCCCATTTTGCAGACCCATGTATTAGATAGATTGGGATCAATGTAAATGGGATAAAGTAGAGTTTTAACAAAATGTAAATATTTGTACATCTTTATTTTATTTATTTGGTGAAAAATATTTCCTTAAGATGGTTTTCATAAACAGAGTATAACACTTTTATCAGAATTCATATATCCTTGTTTAGCTTTAGAAGTTACTGGTAACATGGTTTTCTTAAAAAACATTTTGTATAGCGTACAATTCAATCTGATTAATTAAGCCTCAGAATTGATTTAGTTTTAATTTTTTGTGTGTGCTGCTGCCTTTACTAAATTATTTTGACAAGTCAAGTGGGTGACAAGACTAGAAAAAATAATATTTTTGAATGTAATTAAACATTTGTTATCATATTGATAATCTGAGTTTTATGTTACATAAGTGGGAATTCCTACATAATATTTTTCTTCTTTTACATAACTCGAATCAATCAAAACAATCATCTGTATCAATCAATATTGAAAAAAGTAGAGATATTACTTTTTATGGTTTCCAATAAATATAAAAAAAAACATGTTGTTCTTTGAAATGTTGCATTCAGTTTTTTTTTGTTTTGATTCTAGCAATTTGAATACCGTGGTGTAGGTATTGGGGATTCTCTCCTCTACATCAATGGCTTATCTGTGGACCTTGAGATCTATGACATCTTCACCCTTCTTGATCTCATGTCATCTGAGGCCAAGCTTGTTGAGGGGCTACATTCCCTGGGATTCAAGGTACCGATAACATTTTGTGCTTGCCATGTTGTGATATGTACCGTTGTTATGCAGGACGTGTTTACGTCACACTTTCCCTGTGCCGTGAACTCTGTTTGACTCCAAATTAGACTGCGTTCGTATTGGACGTGGCCTATTTCTTTTGATCTTTTTTTACCAGAAAACAATCTATGGCCTGTTTGTCTTGACTCGAATGGGTACAAAATTGTAGTCAATTATAGAAATTTGAGTCACGTCTACAATGTATATTCTGCCCCTGAATCTTCTTAGGAACAGGCGATACCCATACATAAAGCCAGGGAATTGAAAGACGGGAGAGATTGATTGATAGATATTTTTCACTTCACAAGACAAGTGTATAATTGTGTGTACTCATATGTGTTTATTGGCATTCATCATTGTACTTTATTAATTGGCACATTGTACTAACTGTGTACCGGTACAAGACATGTCATGCTCTGTAAGTACATGATTGTCATATATTTCTTTTGTTTTGTAATTATATTACTACTTAATTCAATCTTATTAATTGTAATTAGTACTGTTTTGAGTTTCTTATTTTTGCTATTGTATTTCTTTATGGTATCGTCCTTTGTTATGCACTGTTTGAACGAGCCATAAAATTAAAATAAGAGATTAATTTCTCACTATAGAAGGCAGTGCGTAACACCTGTATTTACCAAAGTGGTGGTCCATGTTACATTGCCAAACCTTACAACATGAGGAAAGAAATTGGACAAATAAGTTAAACATTTCCACGCTTCTGTCTCCTTTCACTATAAAAAATTGATATTGTTGTATCACTAAAATGTGACATCCATCCTTTCTAATGATTTCTTCTTCAAGCATTTGTTCTGTATTCCCTATCACGACTTAACTGATTATCTTCGGCATTGAAAACCAGTGTGTGGCTTAATTAAATGTTTGTCACATGCAGATCTATGTACAAATTTAGATGTTGATTTCTTAATTATTAAAATATTTTCATAAGTAATATACCATTTTGTAGATAATGAATTTTCTTTAAGATGAATCTAAAAAAAATTTTTTCTTAATATCGTTAAATTATTATTTACAAAAGAATGGCCTTAAAAAAATTATTAAAATATGCCAACTTACCTTCAAGCTTTGAATTTCTTCAAAAACATTTAATTACATCTACACCAAATTAGAAAAGATTTCCAAGTTTAGACAAATCTACAATTGAGTAAACATATCTCAAACTTATTTACAGTATGTTTGCTTTTGGTAACCTCATACCGAAACAAAAGTAAGAATATTAATATATCACTAGTTACACTATGAAATATACCATGATGCTCACAGCTGCTAATGGCCAGCGACTTATGATTAACCGGTTAAGTCGTAAATATTTTTTATTTTTTAACTGCTAAGTTTTTTTAAATTCAAAATAGTCATTAAAAAATCTTGAAAGGGCTTACATTAAATAATTATTTGTAAGTTACAGAGTCCTATCAAATAGGCTGATCAGGAATTAAAAAATATTTTATGACATATTAAGGCCATAGAAAAATCTGACACCTGTCCTTGGTTCAGTGGGAAACTCGTCCACCGCTCTGCCAAACTTAAAAGTTTGGGAAGCACTACTTCTTTAGAGTATATGAATTAAGTAAACTATGAAATAGAGCAGGCATGCACAACATACAGCCTGCGGGCCGCAGCAGCCGGCCAGCACCCACTTTGTGGCTCGCGAAGTAACGAAATATTCTTTATTCTTATTATTTTTCTTAATAGCTTTTAACCCGTCCTATTTTCTTTTGGCCCGCACAAGTCCTGCCCTATTTTCTTTTGGCCTGCACAAGTCCTGCCCTATTTTCTTTTGGCCTGCACAAGTCCTGTCCTATTTTCTTTTGGCCTGCACAAGTCCTGTCCTATTTTCTTTTGGCCCGCACAAGTCCTGTCCTATTTTCTTTTGGCCTGCACAAGTCCTGTCCTATTTTCTTTTGGCCCGCATAGGTTTTTTATGCGGTAATACGGCCCGCCTTTCCTTTTTCAGTTGTGCAGGCCTGAAATAGAGTATTAAAAATTAGCCAGAATAAATTAAAATATAAAAACAACAAAATAGCCCAATTGAAATCCTAATGATCTATTGGCCAGTGCATATGATCAAATATTTCAGCAAAGTTCTCAAAGATAATTTTTGAATCATGTTTCATTGACTTACAGTGTTCAAGACTTGTGTAATTTTATATATGTATATTACTTCTAGGGAGAGGCCTTACAAAAGTTTCTACAGCTTGACCTCACTAGTGGTGAGGATGAGAAATATGGCATAGATATCAGACACCCAGCTATACAGGTAAACATAAAATTAACCTATTTATCCAAGTTGTATAACATAGTCGTATTTGAACATACCGTAACAAAGATTTTCACGTTTTTGTATTGACCTTCAAGTAGAAAATTAAAAAATTATAGTTAAAAATCAGCTTTTTGTGATGTCACTGGAATAATATGTCTTTAAAACTTTGACCACAGTATATAAATGATCTTGCAACGGAAAAGAAATATCGAGGTTGGCCCAGCTCTATTCAAGACCTTTTAAGACCGACATTTCCTGGGATGTTAAGACACATAGCCAAGAACATATTCCATCTGGTAAAGTAATTTTTTAAGGCAAAATGCAATACTTTATTTAATAAGTAAGCAGATTAATTAAAAACAGATGGTACTAGCATTCACCATTTCTAATATATTTTGTATGTTTCTGTGACTTGTCAGTATAAAAAGAATGTGCACTGGATTTTTTAATTTTTTCATTAAAAATTTTTATTTTAGATGATACTTAGGATCATCAGGAAAGAAACTCAAAACAAGGATTACAAAGATGTTTGAAGTCTTAGTTACTCATGTCTTAAAATAGCATTTTTTTTGGTTCTTTAGAAAATGTTTTTTTAAAAATAATCACCAAAAGCTCAAACATGTGTCTTATTTTTCTTCAGATCTTCATCGTGAATCCAGCTGACAGCAAAAGTAAAAACTTGCTGAAGATGGCAGAAGCGTTCTATGTTCACAAGGCACCACTAAGGTATATAAGATATGCATCAATTTTTTAGTCACAAGGCATCACTTAGATATAAAATATGCATCAGTTAAAGGCATCACTTTGATTTAACATACACATACATTTTATTAGTCAATCATTCTCATTTTAAAATTAAGAGTGTAAATTAATTTCTATTAAGTCTTTGGTAGAAAATGAAGAAACAAAATTATACCTTATCACAATGCACTTTAATTAACCTATTGAAACTGTTCAAACATATTTTCATAATATAATATTTATTTCATAGACTGGGAGTTGCCTTTGCTGTGAATGCTGATTCAACAGCCACAGGTTATGACAGTGCTGCTGTAGCTTTGGTCAGGGCTTTCACTTTCATTGCTAGATCACAGAATTCAGCTGCCAAAGGCTTGTCTTTCATAACAGATGTATGTTGTTTGGTTTTTTTTGTTAATTTTTTTTTATAATAGCTATTTTCAACCAAAGAATTTAAAATATTTTTGAAACATTTTGAATTACTGCCTTTGATTAATTTAATTTTTAAAAATTTAAATGAACTTTAAAAATTTTTCTAAATGATTCATTTTAAAAATTAATCTTCTATTTTGATGTTCATTTTTTTAATTAAAGGTTTATGAAAAAACAGGTGGTGCTGAGCTCACACCTGAAATAATTATAACAGAGTTTGCCACACAGTATCCAGGCGAAGACAAGGAGATCGTTTTTAGTGAAGCCGATGACTATGATGACATCAGAAAGGTAAAGTAAGCTCTCACAAGTTTACGCATGTAATGTATATTATTAGTCATTTAATGTTAAACAGGCCACACGCTGTATCATGGTCTCACAAGGGGAAACACAGCTACACTGTACATTATTCTTATAATGTTAAACATGCCACACGCTGTTTCATGGTCTCACAATGGGAAACACAGCTACACTGTACATTATTCTTATAATGTTAAACATGCCACACGCTGTATCATGGTCTCACAAGGGGAAACACAGCTACACTGTACATTATTCTTATAATGTAAAACATGCCACACGCTGTATCATGGTCTCACAATGTGAAACACAGCTACACTAACCATTACAGGTGTTTTAAAAAGTCTTGACTCTTTGGTGTAAATATCAACCCCCCTACTCCCTAGTTTTGCTCTTGTATTTTCTTCATAGCACCATAAAATTTGCATTTCTTTAGTCTTATTCTCCCAAACTGGTTTAATGTTGTGTGATAGTATGACTGACCTTGTACCTTTCATAAGAATTTGTCCCCTTTTTCCACAAAAGTTTGGGGAACATCTGTTTGAATTATGCTAGTTTTATAAATTGGCTTTGAACTGTAAAACTCTAACGGGTATATCTTGATATCTTGTTACAATGTTTAAGTATTTACATCTGGTTTCCACCATAATGACAGAGACAATGTGTCCCACCATCATTTCTCCCCATCCCAGGCCAGCAGTGAGTTCATATCCAAGTCAGGCTTCACCACCTTACCACAAGTCCTGGTCAATGGCGTCCCTCTGGAGAAACATCAGCTAGAGGATTCCTTTGAAGAGGCCGTCGTAATGGAGGTGCTGAAGCAGACACAAGTCATACAGCAAGCAGTCTACAAGGTGAACATTTCAGTAGTGCACTGTAAACTGTGTAAAAGTTGAACATTTCAATTAATGCACTGTAAACAGTGTACAAGATGAACATTTCATTAATGCACTGTACACAGTCTACAAGTTGAACATTTCAATTAATGCACTGTAAACAGTGTACAAGGTGAACATTTCATTAGTGCACTGTAATCAGTGTACAAGATGAACATTTCATTAATGCACTGTAAGCAGTGTACAAGATGAACATTTCATTAATGCACTGTAAACAATGTACAAGGTGAACATTTCATTAATGCACTGTAAACAGTGTACAAGGTGAACATTTCATTAATGCACTGTAAACAGTACCATTTAGTCTTGTGATAAATGGGGATTTTTGTAAACTTATAATAAGACCAATACTTAAACAAAATATTTATGACTGTACCCTTATTTCAATCATATTTTAGGCACATGCCTATGAAGCAATAAACATTAAACTTTTAATGCCCCACTTTGAAATATTTACTATATCCAAGATGATTTGAAACCCTCGCCCTGTTTGAAAAGCGCTGAGTTAGATGAGATTAGTAGGACGAGGTATGTGGAAGCTTGAATCAAGACAGGACAGTAAGATAAGAACCTTTTGCCTAAGAGCCTTTCTCAGCAGACAGGAAAAATGAAAATATGACAGGAAATAGAAACTGTTTTAAAACTTAAGTGATTGCCATTGTTATAAAAAATAATTGCCATTCAGTAACTTCTAACAATCCAGGGGGAGATCAATGATGACAAAGACATTTTGGAATGGTGGATGGAGAGAGATAATGTCTTGCCACGCCTCAATTCAAGGATTCTTGCCCCTGTCACAGTTCGACTTGATCTAACTGGATCAGGAGGTAAGTTGGTGAGACCCAAAATTTGAGGGTGGTCTAGGAAATTTACCCTTTCTTGATTGAGCTACCTTGGTAATTTATTTATTTTTCATAAATGATTGTACTAAACACAAAAAAACCCAAGTTACTGTACTGAATACAAATGAAAACATTCCAAATGAATGACAGCCATGAAACGCTGCAAGTGAATGACAGCCATGAAACACAGCAAGTGAATGACAGCCATGAAACATTCCAAATGTGTCACAGCGATGAAACACTGAAAAGTACCGCGCTTCGAGCCTTAATTAGTGATGAAGCGTGTTTTTGAAATGAATTTTATTATTATTATTATTAAAAGTAAAATAACCATTTATTTATTTATTTAGCCATTTTTATATAGCGCTTACCATAAAGCTCTAAGCGCTTTACAATTATTAAAAACATGTAAACTAACTAAAATAAAAATGAGACATTAGGATAGTAACTACTATACTATAGAAACAATTAAAATGGCTATAAAACGAGGACACTTTAACATAATACAGCATTAAGATATGTGTAAACATCTCTGAGGTACTAAATTAAATTCAAGAGTATAGTTGTTGTTTTTTACATTTAAGCAGTAATGATGGGAAACTTAATATGAAACAAAATATATTTCAATTACACAAACTTAAAAAAAATTTAAATCAGACCTCCGCATTTAAAGAAAAAAAAGATGAGTGAAATAATTCAAACTATTTTAAATGGTGTTTTTCTCACTCATTTACAAAGTGTACAGTGTATGATTTTGAGATGTCTTTTATGATTGTACGTCAAGACCTGACAGAACTATGATTTAAGTGACCATGTTGAAAAAAATATAAATGTTTATAGTTTTTCGGTTGTTAGTTTTAGATTCTTTCTACATCCAGTGGTGAATGGATCTAGAAATACGATTGGTTGTAAACCATATATGATTATATAATGTTGTCCCTGAGAGGGGAAGGGGGTGGTGTTGATTATGAGATTTTTGTTTGAGGGTGTGCAGGGGAAGGTGTAAAAATATTTAAGTCTATAAAAAAAACACCGCCACTTTTTCGTAATGATGTTGGTGATGGTCGTATTGTTGATGGTCATAATGATGCATTGTGTTTTCATATTGAACTTGCTAGACACAGCAACATTAATATTAGGGTAGTTGCCACTGTGGCAACTTTAGTCAAACCTTGCTTTTGTTTGCTTCGGTGGTGTATGACATAATTTTGGGGCATACTTATTTTGTTCAGCTAAACTGCAGCTATGTCAAAACCTGAGATAACTAAGTTTTTTTTTTTTTTTTTAATATAAAATGAGATTGCATTCTCAATTGTTCCCTATAGCAACTTTAGATTTTGACATATTTTATAGGATCTGAGAGGTCTAAAATATATTTTTAGAAATGATGTTCAGCTAAACTGCAGCTATGTCAAAACCTGAGATAACTAAGTTTTTTTTTTTTTTTTTTTTAATATAAAATGAGATTGCATTTTCAATTGTTCCCCATAGCAACTTTAGATTTTGACATATTTTATAGGATCTGAGAGGTCTAAAATATATTTTTAGAAATGCACAACTCAGCTGTATGATTTTTAATACCCCCATTAGGTTCCAACACTCCTCTTTCTTTTACCCTTTCACAGCTTGTGGTAGTTATCAGACTATAATAATATGTTAAAAGGAAATAGGCGAAAGGGATATTGATTCTTTCTTTTTTTTTTTAAAACAGCCTTTTCATAAAAAATAAATCTCAAGCTACTTGTTACTTTTTGTAAACGAGGACGTCCTAATTTGTTAATTAATTCTTATTTTAATAAATTTTATTTTATGCTAACTGACTTCGAGTTTGAACTACATTAAATTTCTCCAGTAACTTTATTTTTAACAGCTGCAGATTGATAATGATATCTGTATGTTCACCCAAATATTAATGGATATTTATATATGTATATGTAGACTTAAGCAGATGCACAAAGCCTAAAACAAAGTGACCGGAGATTGCAATACAAATTTCAGTCATCGACTTTTGGAAGTTACCTCTTTTTTTTTTACATCAGCTTAACTCAATCTCACTAGTCACGCGATCCAAGTGTTTATTGTATACATTATGTATACTGTATGTTTGTTTATTTTACTTTTAAGGTACTGTATTGTACAATTTTGAGATGTTAATTGTACAATTTTAGGAGTTCAAGGGTAAATAGGTCTGCATTTACTACCTACTGACTGAAATGAGTATAGTTTTGAGCAAAGTAGTTAAGATGTATTTAGAAATTCAATATAGCTGAAAGAAATGTTGACTGTGACTTATGAGCTAAAACTTGTTTTTACAGAGAGTAGCATGGTGAAGATACCAGCTGTTGCCTCAGAGTTAACAACCAGGGATCTCAGTGCCGGCTTGATTGATAGTCTCAACTACATTACAAAAAAAGGTTACAATACCTACAAAATGTTTCAAAATCTTTTCAAAATCTATCAATTTCATATGCATATTTCTTCTTGTTTGATGTTGTTTTTGTAACTCTTGTTTGATGTTTTTGGTGTTTCTTAGTGTGACGTGTCTCTCAATGTTGAGAAATTTTATCAAGCAAAGGTTTGATAAAATCTGTACTGTGTCTTATATCACAGTGTATTGTACTTATTAAAGATTAAAGTAAAGCCATTACATAAGAATGATCATCTCATTGTCTCATATATGAATACATTGTTACAGATGAAGATACGCTGCGTCCAGTGACTTTGTTGGTGATTTGTGACCTTGAGTCTCCCAGTGGAAGGTCATTCCTCTACACCGCCATTAAACAATTGGTAGGATATATGTTGGGTTTTCTTGATTTAGTTTTTGTGTTTATGAATGGGCTTTCTGATTTCTCCATTACATATCTTACTTATTGTTTGAGTTTTTAATGGGATTTTTAAACATGATGAATCATCATTAGTGGAGATCAGAGGATATCTAGACAATGCTTTGAACAGTCAGCCTACTGTTGATTGCAGTCTTACTGTCTTATATCCTAATAAGTTTTAAAAAAATGAAATTATCTTACAGAAACCAAGTCCTTGAAATTTTTTAAATAGATGTTTCTGTATCTCATTCTTTTAAAATACTTGGTGGGCTATATTTGTTACTGTTACTCTCTTCCAGAAAGCCAGCAATAACCTGAGGCTTGGAGTTGTGTTCAACCCGCAGTCTGCCACAGCTGACAATAAAGTGAACAAAGCTGTGCAAGTGGCCCTGCAGACACTGCCGGCACCGATAGCTAAGAGCCTCATCACAAAGTTGGTCAAGGAAGAAAACATCCAGGACTTGCTGGCAGAGAGGAAAACTCTGCAGGACTTTGAAGTGCATGTATGTAAATACATACATACTAGTTGACAAGGTTGTCCCAATTATCTATCTTGGCTTTAAATTACTTTTTCAGGGCACAAAGACATAACACAAGGAAAACATTTAACACAGGATAAGTACAAACCTCGGGACACCAACTAATGTTTTTTTATGTATATTTATAGTTTGTGTTTGTGCATAATATTCAGAAAAATTGTTTAATGTCCTTTTATATCTATTTCTAGTTAATAACAGTTATTTACAAAAAGAAAATCACGTCAACGAAGTCATTTTGTTTACATTTTAATTATCTCCAGAGCTTGTTTTTATCTCAGGGAGTTTTATCTAGCTACTTTTTCTACTTAAATATGTTTAATGTTAACCATTTTGTTTGTTACTTAAAGGGTATGGACATGGAAGCTTATATCTCAGCCCTCAATGCAGCATCTGGAGACTTTCTACAAGTCCATCAAATGTTCATTTCTAAAGCCTTGTCCCTGAGACCTGGAGAATGTGGACTGATAGTCAATGGCGGAGTGAGTAACACACATCACAGCACACTTCTGGTTCATTTCAGAGGTTTTTTTAACAAGTTTATTGAATAGTTTTTAAAGCTGCTGACTTTTATTTGTGTATAAATAAGGGGAAAAGGATCAACTTTAGGCAGGTTCAGATTTGTCCAAGACATCTCCTGCTGAGTAGAAAGAAATAGGTGTTTTAATGTCTTTTAAACAGAGTATCCATTTGTTTATTTTATAGAAATTTAGCCAACTATGTGAATTTTCTGATAGATTTTGTTTGTATTTGTTACTGTATTTTGTGTTCATTACATGAAGTATATTTTTTTGATAGCTGTTATTGGCATATTTAAATATATATATATATATATATATATTTAAAAAAAAATATTTTTTTTTACATTGAATGAATAATAATTTAACAACTTTGAACAACAAAATCAGTGTGGTGAACTTATTGTAATTCAGTTCATAGTAAACATTTAAAACATTTAATCTTGTGTAAATCATTGCATAATTGAAATTTTTATCAGCACAACTAATATCTGAATTTTGTCTTTATCAGTTCTTGGGGCCACTAAGTGATGAGGAATTGTTGACAGTAGAAGATTTAAATTTATTGGAGAAACTGGCCTACCAGCAGGGAGGACAGAAGATTGCAGAAGCAATTCAGTCTGTTGAGAAAAATGCTAGGAAGTATGTTGGCATGGCCCTGATTTGTCTTTTTCCAGTTGAATCATTTATCAAATAGAAAATATTTTAATGAGAAAAGAGAAGGCCAATCTAAATGACTTAGCCATTCAGCCACTTACAGCACAATGAGCTTCAGCCTGTCGCAATATTTTTAGTTTTATCATATTCCAAATAGGTACCTCAACTAGTAAAATGGATTTAGTGGTGCAAATTTATTTATTTACTAAATTTTTAATTTAAATTGAAATATATACGCCAACTTCCTGTCCCCCCTTTGACTGTTTAGAAATAATCACTGCAGGCTTCCTCACTACCTTTGCTGTCACATTTCTAACCTAGTATGATACACATTGCTTTAAGATAAGAATTTAGAATTTTAAAAAATTGTATCTTTTAATATTATTATTAGTTTAATCACCTGCATTTATCAATTTTTGGTTACATCTTCTTGACATTTGACTTATTTCAAAGGGCAAGTGACATGTCAATGAAAGTTTCCAATTTACTCTTGGCTAAGGCCAAAAAAGACAAGAGACAGAAAATTGATTTTGCTGATGACAAATACAGGTGAATAGGAATCCAAAGATCTATTGTTATTTTGTTCACCATGAACTTTAAAGCTCGTCATTAGATTAATAACTACACAGAATAAGTCACATTTGAATCTTATTAATTTATAATTAGATGGACATATTCATTATATAAATTCAGTAAATCTCACATGGTCTGCTAGAGACCTTAATAAAAAAAGCTACAACACGATTGTGAAATCCCAGCACACGGTGGTGGCAAATGAAGATTATATTGAAACATTTAGGCAACAGAAAACCTATTAAACACATGGGAGAGAGACAATATATGGCCCAACAAAGGATGAATATGAATGCAGAATATGGTGTGGACAAATCAATCCCATGATAGTAGCAGATAAAAAATATGGTAGGCTGTTGGGGGGGGGGGGCACACTTTGAAAGAATGTCATAAAACAGATGAGTAAAGAGGGTACACCACCAAAACCCCAAAGGAAAACTGCTCAAATGCAGAGCTAGGCTTAGATGGATAGACAATGTAGAAAAAGATCTACAGCAGCTGGGAATCCTAGCATGGAAAAAAATGACATCAGTTTAGTCTGCGTGGAAGAAAGTGGTGAGGCAGGCCAAAGCCCTACACTGGTTGTTAACGCCACAGGGATGGATGGATAGAATTCTTTGTTTATGCCATTTTTTATACTTTAGTGTTTTAGCTTATTTAATTTTCTATAATTTTAATTACTGATAACTTTTTAATAATTGTTTAAACAAAATTAAAAAAACAAAGTGGAAAGTGTTTAGTAATTGCTATCGACTAATTATTTTAATCTATCATTTATTAGTGTGATCAAGTTGCCAGCAGATGCCAAGATTCCTGCCTTCACAGTTGAAGCCATTATTGACCCCGTGTCCATAGAGGCTCAGAAAATGTCGGCTATTCTTTTGGTATAATGGCTTTCTCCATTTTATCACAAGATAAATGTTAAAAAAGCAAGAGTTATTTATTTGATAAAACAGGGAATATTTTTCATATCTCTGTGGCCACTTACATACAACATAAATGTTAGCATTTCACATAGAGGAGGAAAGAAAGTATGCAGGAAAAATTAATGTTGACTATTCTCTATTTAATTTATTTTACTAATAAAATTTAGCAACATTTTTTTTATATTTTGAAACTGTTGTTTTCTGCAGGTCCTGAAACAGATTGCTAATGTGGACGTAACAATTTTTATGAATCCAAAGGAAAAACTGTCAGAGATGCCTGTTAAAAGGTAAACCAAAATATGGATTCTTACAAAATACCTACACAGAAAGTACAAAAGGAAAAACTTAAGAAAAACAAGAATTGTCTTTTAAATTGATTTTTTTTAGATGCTGGTTTTATGATTTTTATTCATATGACTAGTCTATAAAGAATTTCTGCATATTTTAAAACAATTTAAATAATATTATATTATTATAATATTTATTAATTTTATATTATAATAATGATATTTTGAAGAAATATTTCTTCTACATATAATGTTAATCAGAATAATAAAAAAAACACAGAAATAGCATTTAATACTTAAATGACCTTATTGTTTATATTATTAGTTTTTACCGCTATGTGTTGGAGCCAGAAGTGACCTTTGACTCAGAGGGGGCCCTCAATCCAGGACCACAGGCGAGATTTTTGGACATGCCACAGAAATCCTTACTTACCCTGAACATGAAAACGCCAGAGAGTTGGCTTGTTGAAGCTGTTACTTCCCCTTATGATTTGGATAATATTTTACTGGAAGAGGTAATATCTAATATGCTTAGCTGTTGGCTAGTCTATGATTTGGATGGACACCACTATTCATTAGCCCTCAGCTCTTTGCCCAGTAACTTTTAATTTCTCTTTCTAGCTGGAGCAAATAACACATCAGTTGTAATTCTTTAGCTCATTGTTATTTGTGATCCACCTTTCAGTGATTCATGGGCAAATTGTAAAAGAGACTTGAACAATTTACTGGTTATCTTGTTATTAACTAGTTTTTTTTTCCTTCAATTAATCATTATAGAAATTTGAAATTCTTAACTTACACTTTGTTTATAAGTATTTATTTTTTTTTTTTTCTTCATTTAAAATTATTCATTATTTCTCATTGATCTTGAAAGGGCCAATTTGTAGCTATTAATGATATTTTCAAACATACACCTAATTTTTTTATCTTCTAAATCAATTACATTTTACAATTTATCATTGTTATTTGTGATCCACCTTTCAGTGATTCATGGTCAAATTGTAAAAGAGTCTTTAACAATTTACTGGTTATCTTGTTATTAACTAGTTTTTTTTTCCTTCAATTAATCATTATAGAAATTTGAAATTCTTAACTTACTCTTTGTTTATAAGTATTTATTTTTTTTTTTTTCTGCATTTAAAATTATTCATTATTGCTCATTGATCTTGAAAGGGCCAATTTGTAGCTATTAATGAGATTTTCAAACATACACCTAATTTTTTTATCTTCTAAATCAATTACATTTTACAATTTCCTCATTTCAAAATTTTTCGTACGTATTTCAAATAGCTTTTTTTCATTGATTTATATTTCTTGAACCTGGCACACTCTGTTCATCTACAGGTCGACAGGAGCGTGAGTGCAGAGTTTGAACTTGAGTATATCTTGATTGAAGGTACTTCTTAATTTGACTTGTTGGTTAGTTATATACTCAGACTTTTTGATGGATGCTAACACAATATGATGAACATAGATAAATAATAGAATTTTAGTCCTCAACGAGGGAGCTTTATTGAACGGTGTCAATCTTGTGGGCCCGATTTCTTAGCTAATTCATAAAAAGTCATCATTGAAGCACTATTTTATAATGTAATATATTTGTCCTCATTAGGCCACTGCTATGACTCTGGGACCATGCAGCCACCAAGAGGACTACAGTTTGTTCTGGGAACCAATAGAACTCCTGCCATGGTGGATACCATAGTCATGGCTAATCTGGTAAGTTAAAAGAAAGACAGCAACTACCAAAAGAACTAAAACCTTCAGACATGGGTTATACAATGTCAACATATCAGAAACTGTAATATCACGGCTATTATTGATATAATGATTTTAAAAAAAAATAATTACAAATAGTCTATTTTGGATTTTCTGCATATTTGATTAAGTTGACAAAACCTGGTCAAAATAAGTTCATAATAATCAATTTTCTACTATGGAGGCTATGAAAACCCTGGCTTGACTTTTAGTATAGAGCAGTGGATCCCAAACTTTTTTCGTAGTGATTCCAGCTTTTCCAAAGGCACCATCATTTAAATAAAACATGTACACTGCAAAATAGTAACTAATTTTCTTGAATTAAGAGGTTAGATATGGGGCTCTGTAAAAATTACTGATATTTTGAGCTGAGCTCGTAAACTTTACATAAATATGCCACTGATATAGGGGACTTAAGTCATGGTAGGATATTCATCCCTGTGGCCTTCTATTGTCATATTGTTTTTCTTCCTGACTTAAAAATCTATGCACTCTTAGTTTGGAAACTGTTTAATTTGTTGAAATCACTACTGAATCATTACAGGACAGTGTTGTTAAAATACAAAGAGTATGTGAATTTCAGGCGGCAAATTCTCTTTTAAGTAAAAATTTATTTTTTTAACCAATTAATGGCATATAAAGTAAAATAAATTGTGTAACATAAATAAGTCTTGTTCTTTAGGGTTTGTGAATTCAATTTAAGTTCAATTTATTTACTTAAAGAATTAAATGGAATTCATTGCAATATGTCAGCAGGTTGAGTTTATTTCATTGTATAAAATGAAAATAGCAAACCAAAATGGTGTTTTAAAAAAAATAATTTTGTTTTTAATCTGTCTTTTTCAAGTTCTTTACTTTTTTTAAAGCCAATATATTTAAGGATTATTGCAGCATAATCCTTAATCCATCATTCCTTTTATTTCAGGGTTACTTTCAGCTGAAAGCTTATCCTGGTCTTTGGCACCTGAACTTAAGAGAAGGGAGATCTGAAGAGATTTACAAGATTGATAGGTACTTATAAATGTTACATTTTATAGTATACATCTAGTACATTTTATAAGACATTATTTAATATATTTTAAAATACTTTTTATGGTACATAATAAAGTACATTTTATAGTAATAATACATCCATTTTAAATGCTTTAAAATATTTAATTATGATTGCAAGGAGGAACTCTACATTTTGAAAAGAAAAGAATTTTAAAGAAAGATATAAAAAAAGAACAGGAAGAAGAAATGTTGTTATCTATTTTCAACATGTGTTGATATTAATTTCATTCACAGTTTTAACATTTATAAATTAAATTAATACAAGTGAAGGTGTAAATATTATGAAAAAGATAGACTGCTTCTAAAAGTTTTACATTATGCTATATACCTGCCTTTGTAGAAACTTGAAGTGTTGAATTGACTGATAAACCTGTATTTGTTATTGTTTAGGCCAATGTTTTGTTTAAAACTTTAAGTTATGTTCTTTTGCTGTTACATTCAGTGACTTACTCTCTGCTAGAAATAACAAAACGTGATTACATCATTCCACAATATTCCATTTTTAACTCAATATTTATAACCTCTCAGCCATGAGTTCACTGATTCACCCAATAATTTCACTGATGTGGTCATTGCTGTTAACAGCTTTAAAAGCAAAATCATTAGAGTCAAAGTAAGTGTTTGGAAAATCAAAGGCATTGTTTATAAGGTTGACTAAATAATGGAGCTTATTTAATAGAACATGCATTAGGTTTTCAATTATTAGGACAATATTATTTTGGGTTCTGATCACACCTTTTACTTAGCCTACTAGAGTGAGGTTCTTGACTACATCAAAGCTGAATAATTATAATATTGTAGTGGGTTCTAAGAACATTTTCTCTTAGTTCAATGAGTCTTAATTTTGTACTGGGTTCTAACCAAACTGTCCCTTAGCTGAATTAATATAATTACCCTTTTGGTTCTAAGCTTACCCTACTTGGCTTCTTTGGTTTTTTATATGGGATATTTTAGTGGCAGTTCTGTAAACAAACATTTTGGTTGTGATATTTTTGATCTGATGTTGGTGTTGCCGAATTGAGTAGTTTAGGTTGAATCATTTGTTGATTGAGTCCTTTTGTGTTGCAGGTTTCTAAAAAGCCAGACAAAATGGATGTGAATTTGCTGCAAGATGAGGAAGATAACACAGGACTGTGGGATTCTATTTCAAAGTAAATTTATTATATATTCCTTCTTTGCTATTTTATTGAACAAGGATTTTACATTTAAATTTTAGTAATTTATAGCTTGATTTAAATTTAAATTTCTATTGAAACTAGAATACATTTCCTGCAGAAACTTAAAAAAAAAAATTCCTAATGAATAACTTTCAATCAGTAAGTATATTTTTATTTTGATGTAAAGTTTTTTCTCTGTCCACTATAGTACAATCACTGGAGGCACTGGTAAGAAAGATGAGGATAAAGACAACACTCTGAATATATTCTCTGTGGCATCTGGACATCTGTATGAGAGGTTCTTGAGGTAGGTCCCAAACAATAGGATTTACAGGATCATTTTATGGGTCCAGAACACAAGTTGAGACAATCTTTGAACAGCACTGAACAAGTCTCTATTTATAAATGGAATACTGTGTTATGATGGAGAATTTTTTAGTTTTGTTAAAGTAATTACCCAATGACAACTACTGAATTTTAGGGTCTATCAAACCAATCAGAAAAAATACTGAGGCTGAAAGTTCAGTCTAAAACTGTGGATATATAGTTCATATGGGACATACGGTTGATGCGAGGACATACGGTTGATGCGAGGACATACGGTTGATGCGAGGACATACGGTTGATGCGAGGACATACGGTTGATGTGAGGACATACGGTTGATGTGAGGAATACGGTCGATGTGATGACATACGGTTGATGCGTTTTTCCTAATTTATAGGTTCTCTGCAGTACGTACCATTCTTAATCCTAATAATTTATAATCATAAGTATTCACCAGCATAAGCACTTCACAGTTTTCAGTGTATTAAACTTATATATTTCAAAACAAATCAGTTGCCAATGATCTATAAAGGTTGTCTCTGTTATTAGAACATAGTCTCACTCCCAATGGCTAATAAATTCCTTTGTGAAAAAAGCTATTTAAAAAAAAATCTTTTTGATTGTCAAAGAATTGCCTTTCTATCATATAATTAACAATCATCCTCTTAATTTTTGGGGTCACTGGAATCTAAAAGACATCACAACACCAAGTATCTGTCTAAGTTTCACTTGATAAAATCTAAACATAATTCTCTGATAATCATCAGACATTGTGAATGTTAGTCATCTTAGATGCCAAATGTATTGCAACTATACCACTGTGACTGATTCCCCTCCTCTGACCGATAATTGATCCTGCTGGCTGCCGTCCATGGTTTGTCATGTCAAAGTTCTGGGGTGGGGTGGGGGAATATACATTTGTTTTGGTTGTTTTGGTTACACGCTGTTCTTTATTTCATAAATGTATTTGATTTTAATGTCATGATTATGTCTCTTTTGCTAATATTTTTATGTACAGCACGGTGAGCCCAGCCCTAGGCTGGGGTACCGCACTATATAAGACCACTAATTATTATTATTATTACTATTATTATTTTGATTATAGTGGTGTCATGGTTTCTGTTTCAGAATCATGATGTTGAGTGTCATTAAGAATACCAAGTCTAAAGTCAAGTTTTGGTTCCTCAAAAACTATCTGTCTCCTACTTTTAAGGTAAAAGTAAAGAGTTTAACTTTGTTTGTGCTGATTAAACAGTATATTTAATTATGATGAAGTAAAGGGATGAAGAATGATTTTAGCTAGCGTTAATTTTTTTCCTTAACCCAATACCAGTATCCTTTCTGCATATATAGTACACTTCATGTGTACTGCTATATTTTTTAGACTACAGTCTGAAGAAAATAATTTTCAATGATGACCATCAACCTGTTAATAATTAATAATTGGGGCCATTTGAGTAGGCATTATTTAACAAGGCTTTAATTTATTTTTAGGATTTCATCCCGTATATGGCCCAGGAATACGGTTTTGAATATGAGCTTGTACAGTACAAATGGCCAAGGTGGCTAAATCAACAAAAGGAGAAGCAGAGGATCATTTGGGGGTAAGTATTTCAAAATTATAGATTTTAATTGCAATCTCAGTCTTTGAAATCATTCTAAATATATTTTTCTTTGATATTTTTATTGAAATTTACAAATAAATTCTGCTTTGGAATGTGTTGAAAAACCAACCAACCTATGTCCTATAATCAATGGAATAATAACACCTTTTCAAGCTGAGATCAAGTTATTTGTGCAGATGATACAAGTCTACACATGACACAAAAAGAGCCAATCACAATTGAACCCATTTTCTAATCTATTTTTAAATTGGAGCAGCTGTTAAATGGACTGAGTATCCTGAGAATTATTCTTACCATTTCCCTACTTTGACCATCTTATAATCAGTCAATGATCTGTTTTCTCACCAGCTACAAGATTTTATTTTTGGATGTATTGTTCCCACTGGATGTAAAAAAGATTATATTTGTAGATGCTGATCAGGTAATCAATCTAATAATTTTTTGTCTCCTAAAAATAACTGTCTTCTTTAATTTAGCAGTAAGCATTTCACATATTGAATATTGTTTTTCTAAAATGAATTTTAATGTTAACTTCATAAACATAAATGGAGCCTTCTAGTGGAATTTTACTTAACTTTTAAAAGGCATATATAGAAGCACTTTGGAGCCAAGGGGATGATGTCTGTTTTAGTTGTATTTCCATGTGTTTAACCATCGGCCGTTGGATTATCCTCAGATTGTTCGAGCTGACCTCCAAGAGTTATACGACCTGGATCTAGGTGGAGCACCCTATGGGTACACACCATTTTGTGACAGTAGGAAGGAGATGGATGGTTTCAGGTAGAATTTTCATGAGCTTTATTGTTGGCTTTCTTGATGTAAGAAGTGTAAGAAATCATTTTTAGATGATACATTTTAGTTTTACAAACTTTTATAGTGTATAAATTACTACTGGCATTGAAATAATTGGTTTAAAATGAGCTTGTTCAAGTTACTTTCCTCTCTTGTTCTTTTCAATTTGTTTTTTTAATACTTTTCTTTCACAAAAAAAACCCTATCTTTCTTTTTATATTTGATTTAATTATTTAATTCACTTATTGATTTGAGTTTCACCAATAGAGTCTTTTTTTCTAAAATTGCGATTAAAAAAATATTTAAAAATTGGTGAATTATTCAATATTTTAAAATGTATGTATTATTTATCTGACTTCTTTGACACTTTTTGTTATCCTTTTTTAAAATTTCTTTTTGTTCTAAAGGTTTTGGAACTCTGGATACTGGAACAGTCACCTGAACGGCCGTAAATACCACATCAGTGCTCTGTATGTTGTAGATTTGAAGAAGTTTCGCCGCATTGCTGCGGGCGATCGTCTCCGCGGTCAGTACCAGGGTCTGAGCCAGGACCCCAACAGCTTGGCCAACTTGGATCAAGACCTGCCCAACAACATGATCCACCAGGTGTCCATCAAGTCACTGCCCCAGGAGTGGTTGTATTGTGAGACTTGGTGCAGTGAGTCGGAGAAAGCAAGGGCAAAAACTATTGATTTGGTGGGTAGCGTTATTAGCCTTGTAGCCTGTGTCATGCTAGAAAAGACATTTTGCATGCGAAAGTTAAACAGCTAAATTAATACTAAACTATTGTAAAATAAACAAGTCAAAGATAGTCAATTGTAGAGTATGGGGTTACAAACTCTTGTCACAATTAAAAGCAATCATCAATATCAGAAAAATCAAAACTTGATAAGGTTCTTTTTTCCAAGCGCTGATGGCCTTCATTCAGCTGTCTCCCTGCATACCAGCTGCTAAAAACATAAGAACAAACACATTATCTCTTAGACCTAAAACGTTACCAATACAAAATACATAGCAACAACTACACAATTAATCTCTATACCAAACACGCTCACTTAATGATATCTATAGCGATGACCTACACACTACCTGCGGCATTATAATATAGTTACTGCTCCATCTTTTGTCCACAGTGCAATAATCCACTAACCAAAGAACCAAAACTCCAAGCTGCCATTAGGATTGTGCCTGAGTGGAAAGATTATGATTACGAGATTAAAGTTTTATGGGATGAAATTTATCAGACCAACACAAAAGCTCAAATTGAATATGACCCTCCGCAGTTACCATCTAAAGGTCTTAAAGGTAAGGACCCTGCATTATGGCAGTTACCATCTAAAGGTCTTAAAGGTAAGGACCCTGCATTATGGCAGTTACCATCTAAAGGTCTTAAAGGTAAGGACCCTGCAGTTACCATCTAAAGGTCTTAAAGGTAAGGACCCTGCATTATGGCAGTTACCATCTAAAGGTCTTAAAGGTAAGGACCCTGCATTATGGCAGTTACCATCTAAAGGTCTTAAAGGTAAGGACCCTCCACAGTTACCATCTAAAGGTCTTAAAGGTAAGGACCCTCCACAGTTACCATCTAAAGGTCTTAAAGGTAAGGACCCTGCATTATGGCGGCAGTGCTACATCCAGGCAGTGCTACATCCGTACTTCATTTATATTCCTGAGCCAAGGAAGTAACTCCATTTTGCAATTGATTTAATATGTAAAATATTTTTTAAGCAGCTAAATATTCATTAATTGTAAGAAATTAAGGATAAATGCATACAGAAATGAATATTTTTAATAAAATTATAACATTAACAGCGAACAAATAAGCAATGACCAAAAAATTGATTTTTGGCACCTCGGATGAACACGTTTGATATAGAGGCACCATACTAAAGCACACATGGATTGAAAATGTAACAAGATAAAAACTTCAGTTTTTTAAATTGATATCAAACAGAATCACAGTATCACCAAAAGTCTAAAAGTGACACAAGAATTAGTTGCTATTTTAAATTAAAATAGCGAGATGTGTGTCTCTAAGCACCGGGATACATTTAGATGCATACGTCTGAACCTCAGAATGGAGCATTTCGTCTCTCACCCATCAAGAATAAGTTCAATTGTTAAGGTGGTTGTTTTTATGAAAAAAAAAATGATATCAATGTACTGACCCCTGAGACCATTCTTGTTGGATGGTAAAAATGAATGTGTACCCCAATAAAGATAAATTACTGTACAAGTCCTTGTTCATATTCTAGAATAAATTAATTTTAGCCTAATGAATAGAAATGACTCTAGAAAGGTCACACTTCTACATGTTCATTTTATTATTCCCAACTGGAATGAAACGTATCAGTATCAGACAGTACTAATTGATCTGTACTTCATTTTCAGGTTCCAAGCCAAAAAATGTTGAACTTTGATGAGTCTTCTGCTAGGATGTTTCCGTTTTCATCTGTTGTATAAAGTTCACATGAACATAATATTGTGCTGTGTGTAAGAGGAAATGTGCTGGCGTTGATTGCTGGGGCGAAATGTCTGGGTGTGTCTATAAGTGTATAGACACATTGTGAGCGGTGAATGATGGGGACGTGTGATGTGAATTATTGTTTCTACACTCATTCCAGATGAAGGATGAAAGAGCTGCATGGTTATCTTATAGCACTGTGAGTAATAAAAGAGAGACCGGTCACTGGAGATGCAAAATTTACAGGTGTTGACTAAGTTAGGACAATCATTGTATAGTATAGTAGTAGTGGGTTGGGCTCAAATTAAGCTTTTATTAAAAAAATTAAAAAGAAATACGATATGGTAAAGTTAGAACTGGGAACACAACAGGAAATAAAGAATAAAATAACAGATGGAATAAGCTTTTTAGATTAAGACTTGACTTGTCCACTGACACCCAATCAGAAATAATCTTTAATTCATCACAAATACAAACCTCTATGGAGCTAGGTTCATCTTTTATTGCATTAAACTTTTCAGTTTTGAATTTTGTTTCTAATGCAAAATGTCTGCGGAATGACTGAAGACAGTCACAGATTTTTAATCTCAATTCAAGAGTTGCGATTGTGCCTTTTAAATATGGATCATAATAGAAAGTAGTGGCATTCAGTGACTGTATTAAGAAATAGTGGCATTTAATGACTAGTAGAAAGAAGTGGCATTCAGACTAAACGTTTTTCTTACACTTGTTAACAGAGTGCTTGGGAGAAATTGTACTCATTTCAAATAAGATTTTTCTGACACTGCCAATTTTTTATTATTGGTAACTGATGATTCAAATGTTTTAAATAGATAATTATAAAGAGTTCAAATATAAAAATTTACATGTGATATCTAGACCTGCTTTCCATGCACACATTTTAAAAACTTACAATGTAAACACATAATTAGTGTTATCCAGGGGTTCCACACTGCATGCACTTTCAGGGGTTTGACAATTAATCTCTGGGAATGGGAGATAATTTGTCATTAGTTATTTATGATGTCTACTACTTGAACATATTTATAAAACTTAATGATTTTTAAAAAATATATATTCTGTGTACATTTTTTAAAAAAGTTAAGTAATGGTGTGTGGAGGCAACTGGTGTAACCTTTAGTAGAGCTTCTGTTGATTTCATCAGTAGTATTTAATTGTATCATTATCTGCAAGAAACACCTAGATGTCTGGATAATTGTTTTATGATTTTGAAATTGTATCTTATATAAGGACAAGATGAAGTTGGAATAAAACAATTCAAGCTGAATTAATACAAAATCTAGAGTTTATTCCCTTGAATTGAAGTGTTATTGCCCTTTATTCCCCAAAAACTGTTGGCATATAAATGACATACTTGAGTAAACCTACTAAAGACTTAACCACTGACACATTTCTAGAGGTTGTTGCATTAAACAAACTCGATGCAGGTCATGCTGTGTCAGCTAAATCACATCTCTTCTTATTCCTGTTAACATGAAATGGAATGGCCCACTGTGGTATAATAACCCCATGGTTTTGTGCCAAGGGCAAACTTAATGTCTCACTCTTAGTTTGTTATGCATTAAGAGTCTGATACGATCAGGAATAACACACCAGTAGGCACTTTTAAAGTCATTTAGTTTATCTGGTGACAAGGTGTCACAAACATTTGGCTGTTTATTAATATTCATTTTTCTTGTTGTTTGACTCTAAGAAAGCAACCATGCAGTGTTCAAAGAATTTTTCTTTTATTTTCAATTCTTCAAAAAACTTCTCTTTAAAATTTTTAATTAAATAACTCCAAATTTGTTGAATTACATGTGACATGTATGATAAAACACTTTTGCTTGATACCTTTGGTCGACATGTTTCATTCCACTGATAAAACTTAAACATTTGTAATGGTGATCACTCTAACCCACATTACCGGCAAGACTTGATTCTATGTTTATCAAGACAAGATTGAGCAACTATCACCAATATTATTATTAACTAGTAGATGTGGCAATGTGGATAAATGTGGCTGATGGTGTAAATTAACCACTGTATATGTGTTATTGTATTAGATGATATCATATGCCATATTTATATACATTTAACGTGTTTTCAACATGACCAGCAGAATGACATGAAAATCTGTTGTATTTAAGAGTTTAAATTCTAGTATTTTTTTATAGACAGCTTGTTTTTCAAATTATAATTGACAGTGTTGTCATTCATTCTGATGTTGGGGTTTCTTATTTGGTGGTTGTTGTTGTTGTTGAATTGAAATAAGATGTCTGTGAGATTTTAAGCATTTAAAAAAAAATATTAAAAATATCCAAGTTTGAAAAGATCAAGGTGATAGTATAATTTTCATTTGCTCTTGTACAAAAGTAAGACAAAGAAATGTTGGTGAAACAATTAGTAATACAGTTGCTCTTGTTTTTTCATTGGATATTTAGAAATGTTTTCATTAAATGCACATGTGGAAAAAAAAATATTTTGATTATTTCTGAGTGTGAGGTAAATATTATTTAAGCATTGTTGAATTTAAAAATTGAATCAATTTTGTAATATATTTTGAATTTATAAAGTACTTGTCTAGTAAAGAATATTCTATCACTTTATACCAGTCCATCAACATACATTGGAACTTCTATATGCATTGAATCTGATGTTCATTACAAAATTGTTCAGCAAAAAGCAATCTGAAGTGTCAGTGAGAAAAAGTCACTCATTATAAGAAAAAATTATTTGTTTAAATCAATGAGAATCAGACATGATTGTACAAGTTCTTGGCTAAATCACACATGATTGACAAGTTCTTGGATAAATCAGACGTGATTGTACAAGTTCTTGGCTAAATCACACGTGATTGTACAAGTTCTTGGATAAATCAGACGTGATTGTACAAGTTCTTGGCTGAATTAAGTTCCTCTTTATTGTCAAGAAAATTATTAAAAAAAGAGATTGATCACAATGGTAGGTGAATTCCCTGTTTTAATGGAGGGTTACTCCTCTGATTAACCAAATACAAACTTCATTATTCTCTTCAACTTCTGTCTTCATCACACTTCAATTAAAGTGACTTACTTACAAATTCCATTACAGTTTCTTGTATTTGATATTCAGACCTGGTAGTAAATTGAGTCCTATTAATAGCTTTGGACAATTTTATGTTCTATATTGATTGGGTCCAGTATTCCTCAGGGATAACTCTATGGACAATACTATATGGAGATTCCTCTTTTATTTTGATGTACATCACTGATGATGATTGAGTTGCATGTCGGACACATCACATGGACTGCACTGAAATAGATGTTGAATTATGACACTTATCAACTCTGTGTAACATTCATGACAAGATTTTGTGTTCATTACAGTACAGGCGTGAGCATGGGTAATACCAGCATATATGTGGCCATTACTAATGTGTACATGGTAGAACTTATGTGTACATGTAAGGCCTTATAATCATGTCGGAAGTAGTATTTATCTGTATATTGCAGTGCTTATGTGTACATGGAATTACATTATGATTACATGGTACTTATGTGTACATGGATGTACTTATGTATGCATATGGTAGTATTTATCTATGCACGGTAGTACTTTTGTTTACATGTAAGCATGGGAAGTAATGATGTATGAAACATTTAGAAAGACATTTATGAAACTATCACTGTCTTACAATGGTTTACAGCAATCGTGCTCAGGAACTTGCTTCAAGCACTTAACTTACTTGATACATGAGTTCCTGGCGCATCACTGGGGATGTGTCCGGGGGGGGGGGGTTGTGTCGGGGTAACAGTTCTCTCTCTCTCCCCAGTTAAATTAGACTACTAATGTTGAGAAAAA